ATGATTTTTTCTCCTAATGTGACATGCAATCCTATCATTTCATTGCATGTCTTCTATTAAAATTATTTATGCATGGTATAAAAGAAAATTGCTATCCTGGCATATTTATTAGGTCATCCTGCACATATACTAGCCACAACCATCTGTGTGGCCTAAAATCAGGATGGATAATGTATGCATAAGCTATGCCCAGGTTAAGGACAAACAACAGTATGCAGTGTTTACCAGGGTATAATGTGCACTAAGCTGAACAGAGACTTCCAGATTGCATAATACACTGGCAGATTAGGGCTTACACTTTCTGGTCAAATCATTAGGGCTGAGAACCAGTTGAAATTGAAAGATTCATGATTTGTTTTTCATAATTAATTAATTAACCATCAATTTTAGTTGGGTGGATTTATGATCTATATATTTATGCCCACTATGAGGTGGAGTGCATTACATTATGATGTCCATCCATCCAACAGTTTGCAATCTGATTTTTGCAAAAGTAACTCTAGTTTCCCTCCACTGATAGATGCCAAACTTTCTGAATGATTTGCACTAGGCATAAGGAAGGTCAAGGTCACTATGACTAAAAGAACAAAAATGTTAGGTGCATGAATTACTAAAGTTGTCCACTATGAACAGTTACCAAACTTTGTAAAAAAAAGTTTTTTCTCACACTGGTCAAGGAATAACTTTTTTTCAGGGGCAGAAGGTCAGAGGTAAATGTAATTGTGACTGGAAGAAGAATAATGGTTTCTGCACAATAACTGGAGTTCTTCATTAGCTGCAGATACCAAACTTGTCAATTGCTTGCCTACTAATTTTTGGATTGATCATACATGTATTCTGATCAAATTTTGTTGAATGTTTGGCTTAAAGTATGGAAGAGGCTTACCAATTTTAGGGTCAAAGGTCATAGTCATTGTCAATAAAAATAAATGGCTTTTACTGAATAACATTTGTTTTATAATTCCTTGATCAAAACTTGTGTATGGATTGCATTTATATAATAAACAAACATATTCTGGGATGAAAAGATTCTGGGCAGTGGAACATCTATAATAAGAAAATATTGGCTTCCACAGCTTAAATTGAGCATGTAAAGTGCCTACAAAGCTGACCATTAAACAAAACATTATCTACAAATCTTTTATTCTGCCCCGTAATAGTTAATTTGCTTGTATCCTATAAAGTCAAATGTTTTATCTGCCTTTTTTCAGTGGTAGATGATAAATTTAGGATGTACAAGTAAACGAGGGCTTTTCTCAAATACTGTTATCCTTCCATATCAGAAAATAATTTTGTTAACTGCATGTGTACATATATACCTTTCTTGCATCATAAGTCATAAAGATGTGTAAACCTTGCTTGTCACTGAGATTTAAATATAATTAAGTATTGTTTTGGTGAGTTAGTAAAATGTTTGTCAGTCAACATATTTTGTGTAATTAGGAATGTCTGTCCATCGCTACATGAACAGTTTGGTTTCCACAGGATTAATTTACTGGGAATTATTGAATTTAACCAAACTGGATCACAGCAATATATAGATGAGATCTAAAGAAGGCTGTTTTAAACCGTCATTGTAATTTAGACATTCATTTCACAACATTTATAAGAGTTATGACTCCTGAATTTCCTGTCTTGATTTTGGTTTCTGCAGCATTACTTTACCAGATATGCTTGCATTTCAACCAGATTTAGCATAGTTTTATATTAGTGAGTCTTTAAATTAGTTTGATTTCCAGTATTTCACAAAATCACTGTACAAGAGTTTTGCCCCAGGTTTGATTGACCCTCTGTCTTTGGTTTCCACTGACTAACTTTACAAAAATGGTTGGATTCCAACCTGCAGCTTTACATTGATGAGGCGATAAATAAGTTTCCTTTTTAATATTCTCCTCTTTTTATGTGAGCTATCTGCCCTTCCACCCTATCCCACTCCATCGTCTGACAACTTGACTTAATTGTATGATAATGGTTTGATTTAAAGCAAATATAGCATGCAACATTTGATGAGACCTTGAATTGGTCTAACTTTTTGAATCCCAAGATGTCATTTATTAGGGTTGTTCCCCTTCATTGCGTATCTGGCTGACATTACTTTTTGCAGCCTAGCTTTAGTTTTCTCATATTTAAGCCAGATTTGTCTTATAGCTTTATAATAATACGAGCTTTTGAATGAATTTAAATTCCAGCCTTATACAGCATCATTTACAAGATCTATCTCCCACCTCCTTTTGAGTACTATATTATAAAACCTTGAGAGTGCCATAACATCATTTCAAGTCTGATTGCCCATCCTCTTGTCCTTGATTCTTGCTGCATAAGTTTACCAAAGTTAATTGGCTGTCAATAAAATTGGGCATACAGGTTTTCATTTGATGAAACCTGCAACTTGTCATTTCTTCCTACAGATTTTGGTATCTGCAAGTTTACTTTACCAAGGATGGATAGATTTTACCTAAATTTGGCATGCAGATTGAAACTGATGAGACCTTAAATGAGTTTGATTTCTATCATTTTACAATATCATTTACTGTACTTGTGGCCTCTAATTGCCCTTCTTCCAAATTCCATTTTGAGTATAACTTAACCATCAAATTTATCATGCATCTTTATTTTAAGCAGAATATGGATAAGGCAGAGTTCCAGCATTCCATGCCATCATTTAGATGATTTATGGTCCTAAATTAAAATTCTTTTGTCCTTTGGTTTTGAAACACATGCTCTATCATGCAAATTGTAATGAGCAGGGCACTTTGCAATGTATCTGTCAGTAATACCTCCATACCCTATCCTAATTATCTGATTTTAAACTTATTGATAAAAATTTGATGGCTTTTGATGAAGACACAAAAGCTAATCATAACATATATGCATGTGTTTTTCTGGTTGATATAAAATATTACAGTGTCTTTAAAAATACTCTTTCAGATTGTATGAACTTGGAAGCAAAATTTATCACAAGTACAATCTGCTGGAGGCACTGCTGGTGTCATGGTTGTTGTACTGTTTGTTTGTAGTTCAAATCTTGGATCAATGCAAAAAGGGAGAAAGAGTTCCATGATGTTAACCAGAAGTCACTAAAGATTTAAGTAGTCTGGTTGGTTTCTTGTGTTGATTTTAAAGTACAGCAACACAAAAAGGTTATTTAGTGCCAAGGTAATTGGTGTAAAGAGCCTTGCCCTGGGACATTCCACAGGAGCCAAACCAAGTTAATATGTATTATGTAGGTAGGATTTGAACCATCACCCTTTTAGAACCCCAAAGTCAATGCAGCTCCAAACTCTGATAGTTTTGTAACTGCTCATTGATCATCATACAATGCAATGCTCAGTTCATTCCCATCTTTACCTGGTCTAAAGTGCTATATTTTTTAGCTTTAATCAAAATGAACAGAATGTATCTTACATAGGTTTATTAATAATATTCTAGATGTAATAGATTTTGGTATAACACTTTATTAGAAAAAAAAATGGAATGCACCATGACTATTCATGACATATAACTAAGTGCATATATATTACTTGCATTCAAGAAAGGGCCACTAAACTGCATATAGAATGCTCAAGTAAAATGCATCTTGGTTTATTTACACTTCTAGTGCATATATCTGAAAACTACTCCCAGATTTTTTTCTTGTTGCATTTGCTGGTAGTTAATGGCTCAGTGTGATATCAGCTGCTCATTATTTTCAGCCAAAAGAATTATATCTCTTAATTATCAAAATGTATTGCTGTTTTCTATCTCTTGAAAGCAAATGTTTCCCACAATGTGGTAACAATATTTCTGACAGGGCAGAGTTATTAAGTTTACAATATTTCCTGAAAAAGTTATGATCAAAAATGATTTAAAATTTTGTACAGTTGAGTTTTAGGTATCTTGGCTAATGGTGGTGGTTGTATAATGAAGTAGAAAAACTTGCCTCAGTTTTTTAGAAAAAAGCAGAAAGATAAGATTGGAATAAAGCAAAGAATAATTAGTGAAATGTGTGATGCTTGGTAAATATAAAAATTCATTTGAAGAAAATAAAAACACAGTTGAAGGGTTATAAATCCTTTTATGTGCATATATTTGTGTGTTTTTTAATGAATTTTGGCAGATTTAGCCAAAATGATGTTAGAACATAAGACTAGGTTACATATAGCTCAGTTAGATACTATTTATTCTATTCATTTTACAGCATGTAACATATAGGTGGTGAAATGACCTGCAGTTATTTTCTTACTTACAATAATAGAAATTTAATTCAAGCTGATAGTAGGGAACCATATTACTGTAATACCTTATTCTCTTCCATTTAGGTTGTGACAGTCAGCAGTCATAATTAGTTCACAAAGGGTCAGTAACCAGCAGTGATCAATGGTAAGTTGTTTTTCCTTTCTTTATTTTATTTGTATAAATTCTTTCCAAACATGATCTGTTTTAAATATATACATGAACATATCTGGATCTTTATAATATTCATAAATGGGATAAAAAATTAAAATCTCTGGCATAATGAAAAGTTGACAGGCACCAATAAATGTTTATGTTTTAGTGATATTTATAATTCTTGTTTTTCATGTTTTCATAACCAACCAGATAAAGGATTGCATTTCAGGTTGGGGAATGTTATCATAAGTAATGATAAGTTTCAAATGACATTTTTTAAAAAAAAAGAAATTTCAGCTGTAATTTGGTGAGTCACAAGGTTAACAGAACATGACCTTGTATCAATGCCCATCATACAGATCTAGATCTTAATAATGTTGTCAAGGTAACCAAAAAGATTGAACCCCCCCAAAAAAATTTATCAGAAAGAAAAGAGGTATTTGATAGATGATTTAATTTTGTTTTGTTATTCTTTCATTAGGAAATATTTTCCATGACAAGTAAACATTAGATTGCCCGGAATATTTTCACACCCTGTAAAAGATAACCTGTTAAGATCATTCAAACTGGATAAACCCCAAAATTTAAGCACATTCTGGTAAAAACCTCATTTCAATGTCACAATAAACCACTCTGGTGGCCCAATGGTTAGAGTATCCAGCTTGGATGCAGGAGGTTGTGGGTTCGAACCCCAGTCTAGTCATACCAAAGACTTACAAAAATGATACTAACAGCCACCCCACTTGGTGTCCAGCATTTAACAAAGTAAATGCTCAATTACTTATGGCATAATATACACTAGATTTAGCTACAATAACCAATAACTTGCAAGATCATTTAAAGATTGCAAAATTATATATAGATATACACTTAACATTAGCTCATGAGAACACTATCATCCTACACAGAGAATCAATTTACGTAAACATAAAAATGTGACACATTTGTATATTAGGGTTAATTCCTAAATCCCTATGAAATACTGCATATTTGCATTCTTTGAGTTCAACATAAATCACAGTGAAATACTGCATATTGAATATTTGATTACATGCAATCCATCAATCCTCTAAATGAACTAATGTTAAATTAAGAATTAAATTGCATAACACTAACAAATCAATAAAGCCCTATGAAATGAATATACAATACATGCGTGAATCATAAGCATATGGACACATTTGCAAAAATGAAATAAATGAAATAGAATATTAAATGGAAACTAAAATTGCCTACCTTAATGCCGTTTCTTTCCACACAACCATGTCCTAGCCTATAACCTGTCTTCCTTTTTAAAACAGCTATCTGACATTTCTTCGTTAATGAGGGAAACAAAATGTTATTGTTACCAGAGTTAATCTGATTTCTCCCAAGCAAGATTTCAGCTAAGAATTCTAAGCAAATAGGTCCCCATAATTCTGGTTTCCCAAGTGTACACCCTTAGTTTCCCTTACCAATCAAAAATAACTGTTCACAAAATTCTCTCCAAATAATCATTTTTTTCATTAGATTTTGATAGCCTAAAAGTCTGTTGCAATTAGCTTTCCTTTGCAAAATCTATTATTTGAGATGCACTCCTTTTGAACCAGTACAGTTGGAGTTCTAATGCACTTTGTCACTGTACTGTTAAACTTGTCCGGTCAGTGCTACTGAAGTTTAAAAGTATACACCTTTTATGTTCCAGAGATGAAATAAGAAATAATCAGTGAACATTCTTCAAGACCCTTTTGGCTTGATGTTAACTTCAAAACACAATTTATTCAACCTTAAGTTTCAATAAGTCTTCAAAATTTGCAACATCACAATGCCCCAGTGCTGGACTTCACTATCAACTGCCCCACTGCTGACATTGTAGCGATATGGCTAAAATATTGTTAAAGCTACCTTAATAATCTAAATGTAACACACACACACACACACACAAACACATACACACACACACACAATAATAATAATAATACAGCATAACAAGAATCACAATGGGGATACCAACTGTCATGGATTTCATAGTATGTAGAAGCCACAGCTTTAAAGAGTCACGAAATAATGGTCCTGTAGAAACAGTAGGATTGGCTGCCTTCCATTATCCACAAATTTAACCAACAAAAAATTCGAACCAATTATTGTGAATCAATGATAATTATATGCATTAAAATAAATATATTCAATGTACAAACAATTTCACTTTTTTATTAAAAGGTATTGTGGGGAATAAGATAGAGTTGCATGTATGCACTGTGCTAATTTCCCCATATCATGCAAGCGGGCTGCATGAACAATAAAAAAGTCTATTTTGTGATTGGACTTAGTTCTCATGATTATTCTAGTGCAAGGTCAAAAAGGACATAATGGTCTTGTAAAGCTATAAGAGAGATTTAAATATAAATATTAAATGCAACAGACAGACATTCACAATATCTTTGAAACATATTTACTGGAATAAAGTAAATTAAGAGATAAGCATACACTTAAAATGACATACCATATTACTCACTGATAAGTTGAGTCATGCAGCAAACAAAAAAGATCCTGATATGCATTCAAATTATGTTGTGGTTTATGTTCTACTGATTACTTCTAAGAAACTGCACAGAGCCAGATTTGCCAGCACAATATGTGACCGCAGATCTTGGTCTGTGCAGTTTGCAGTTGTACACAGCTTATAAGTACATATGGAAGGAATGATTAAAAGACTGACAAGCAACTCCAAGAATTTCAGGCAGTAACATGTCCTTTGCAGCTACAAAAAAAAACCATTAAGTTGAAGATAAGTGGACATTTATTAAGGGTCCATTTAACCCCTTGCCAATACTCTGCAGTAGCCCTTCAAGTGTAGGTTACATTATGCTTGGCTACTTTTACCTAGTCTCCCTAGAGGGAGTTTTTAATTTGTAGGAGTAAAGCCAACTTTGCAATGAAGATTTCAGTGTTGATCAATCTATGTCAGTAACAGAGTATACTCTCTACTGTGAGAATCAGCAGCCTCTCCATTTAATCTAAGGATTGATCAGAGAGAGGAAAGGAACTACTGGTTGTATTCCTAGCTTGGACAGTGAGCTATATTGGAAGGAGTGTTAGAGACTAGTGTCTGGGATTCAGTTAAACAATGGAAAGAAATTACTCTCTTCTTTTGTACCTGTAATGCTTTCAAGGTATGAGTTTTATTCAGTCTTGCTTGACTTTAAACATATATTTTTAACTTTTTGTGTGCTTTGAATTTATGGAAATATACTTGTTTGAAACACAGTCAAAAAAACTTCATATATTTTAAATCAATAAAGAATATTATCTAAATAGGAAGAGAGATAAAATATAAATTAGTTTTAGGTGTCATCTTTTTATGTGAATTATAAGAAAGATTTTGTGAAAAAAGGTTTACTTTTACATTATTATTCCAATATTGGCACCAAGACTTATTTTTCTTCTCTCTGTGTCATAAATGACTACACTATCACAACGACTCAGATAAACCGGTTGTCATTAAAGATACCCTTTCCAAATTCATGAGATTAAACACAATAAATAATATTTTTTTTCTATAGTAGGTTTTCACTGTTATAAGAATTATATGTATTTTAAAATGTTAAATGAATAATCAGATGTTTAAATGAATGATCAGTAGATGTTTAAATGAATAATCAGTAGTCGTTAAATAAATAATCAGTAGATGTTTAAATGAATAATCTGTAGATGTTTAAATGAATAATCAGTATATATTTAAATGAATAATCAGTAGATGTTTAAATGAATAATCAGTAGATGTTTAAACGAATAATCAGTGGATGTTAAATGAATAATCAGTAGATGTTTAAATGAATAATCAGTAGATTTTAAATGAATAATCAGTAGATGTTTAAATGAATAATCAGTAGATGTTTAAATGAATAATCAGTAGTGTTTAAATGAATAATCAGTAGATGTTAAATGAATAATCAGTAGATGTTTAAATGAATAATCAGTAGATGTTTAAATGAATAATCAGTAGATGTTTAAATGAATAATCAGTAGATTTTAAATGAATAATCAGTAGATGTTTAAATGAATAATCAGTAGTGTTTAAATGAATAATCAGTAGATGTTTAAATGAATAATCAGTAGTGTTTAAATGAATAATCAGTAGTGTTTAAATGAATAATCAGTAGATGTTTAAATGAATAATCAGTAGATGTTTAAATGAATAATCAGTAGATGTTTAAATGAATAATCAGTAGATGTTTAAATGAATAATCAGTAGTGTTTAAATGAATAATCAATAGATGTTTAAATGAATAATCAGTAGATGTTTAAATGAATAATCAGTAGTGTTTAAATGAATAATCAGTAGATGTTTAAATGAATAATCAGTAGATGTTAAATGAATAATCAGTAGATGTTAAATGAATAATCAGTAGCTGTTTAAATGAATAATCAGTAGATGTTTAAATGAATAATCAGTAGTGTTCAAATGAATAATCAGTAGATGTTTAAACGAATAATCAGTAGATGTTTAAATGAATAATCAGTAGTGTTTAAATGAATAATCAGTAGATGTTTAAATGAATAATCAGTAGATGTTTAAATGAATAATCAGTAGATGTTAAATGAATAATCAGTAGCTGTTTAAATGAATAATCAGTAGATGTTAAATGAATAATCAGTAGATGTTTAAATGAATAATCAGTAGATGTTAAATGAATAATCAGTAGATGTTTAAATGAATAATCAGTAGATTTTAAATGAATAATCAGTAGTGTTTAAATGAATAATCAGTAGCTGTTTATCCTACCTGAATTACATGTTATGAGTGCTGACAGCTGTTTAGAATGGAGATATGTATCTTATTTGAATTAAATGACATGAGAAATGACAGCAACTTGGGATGGGAAAGCATTGAGTCATGTAGAAAATATGTCATCTTGTTATTTCTGCTGTTCATAGACCAGATGATATCATGGGATGCCCTTTTCTTCTTTATACATCTGTCGACTAGAATATGGCTGCCTCAGTGGCTGTCTAGAAAATCTTGTTATTCCTAAAAAAAATCATATTGACATGGAGTTTTCACCTGAAGACATTTTACCCTGTATAGTTGTTGCATATCTGAAATTCAATATATGAGGGGTTTTAAAATTGTGGTCCATGGACCCCTTTGGGTCCATCGCATGTTGTCAAGTGATCTACAAGCAAGTCCCAAAAAAGAATAAAAATAGTACATTTGCATAGTTGTCATTATCATCAACAATTATAAAACCAAATGAGTACTGAGCTGTCTATTCTGTATTGACTATTCTATTCTATGTTTATTGATGGATTAAATAAAATAATAATAATGATGATCGGTCATATTTATTGCATAGACTGATAGGGTCCGCTGATAGGCTGGATAGGCTGATAGGGGTCTGCCATCAGACAATAACATGCTATGGGGTCCACAGCTTCAAAAAGTTTGAAAACCACTGCAATATACAGTATCCGGCCATCTTGAAAATCTAGTTATCACTACTCCTTCAAAGTGGATGGTCATATGGAAATGAGGTTATCACTAAAGCCTTCTAATCATATTTGGTTGCTTCTGAATGAAAATGGTTCCAGTCTAATATGGCTACCACTCTGACCATCTTGAAAATCTTGTTAATCTCAATGCCAAAACAATGTCAAGTTGGTATTAAGTCAAAACGGTACTAACCATACATTCATCATCTTGAAAATTTTGTCACTGGTCAAG